CATTCGCAGCTCAATTTAGCATTTCAGTTTCGAAGACAAGGGCAATTTTGCTGTTTAAGATAAAGATTAAGCTTATCGAAATGTTTGAACTACACGAAAGAATGCCAAGGATGCGATCCACTGAATATCAAGCGACAGCCCCGCTAAAATTTTTTCATAATTATACATAATTATGCGAATGTTTAGACAATCAACAAATCAAAATCACTGCCCGGTTTTCGGGTCACGTCAGTGACGTCACTGAACGGCCGGTCGATTCAGACGTTGTTGAGAGGAGAAAACGACTCGAAGCAATCGGATGAATTTCAGGCTACATACCGCAGAGCTAGATGGGTCCTAGATGATACCGCAATACCGCACGTTAAAATCAAAATTACCGAAATACCGCATGAAAAAAAGCCCAATACCGCAATACCGTAAACCCCCATGTCCCCCTCACACTCCTGTCAGGGCATAAGAGAGTTGTATAACGTAATTGGAAAACGAGTCGCTCCCTCCCTCCTGGTTGTACAAAAGTAAAACAAAACTGAATGTAAGGCTGGCAATACGCTCCGTCAGGAGCCAGATCCTGGTACGATAATGGCTTATCTTATCTGCGGCCAATACTTTGACTTCAATATTAGCCTTACACATAGCCAGAGCTACATGGAGGTACATATCGCTGCATATCAAACTTGTTCTTTAAATCCCCCTCGTGAACTAACCCGCATAGGCTATTAGCTGGCGGCATTTTTGCGCGCTCGTCTTGAAAAGAATGGAGAAAAGTGGCAAATGATCTTCCCTCGCGCGTTAGCCTGCACGTAAGCTCGGCAGCTCCGTCAGCAAAAAAAAAAATTCTACCAGGCTACTGTGATCCCCCCCTCCCAGCTACAAGGCTAGGCTTCTCAGGCGGTCAGTATAAAACATGGACTGCGGACTGCGGACTAGGTATAAAATACGGAATAGGTATAAAACGCGGACTGGAAAACACAGACTGGGTATAAAACGTGGACAAGTATAAGACGCAGACTGCGGACTGCGGACTGGGTATAAAATACGGACTACGGACTACTTTGGTAAAAACGGTGCTAATTGGTTCTAGGTAAGGAAAAATAGATCAAAAGATCGCTAAATAGCAAGACACGTGAGTTAAAGTTGTAAATACTCCTATAAATCAGTCTTGGTGGAGGTGTGCCGCTCGGTTCTCTGAATCATGAGCCGGATCAAAATGCTATTTTCTTCACCCACTTTTAGACCTTGTCTCGGTCTCTAATAATCATGAAAGGGGTTAGGATTGGGAGTGGTACTCCCTTATATAATGGAAGGGTAGGAGTTTTGGGCCTTTTTGGTCTGAAAACACTTTGCCCATTTTGGTGTGCAATCGGGTATGGTTTTCGAGGGAACTACGGGAGCGTACATGAATGGACGTATTTATCGTTTCAATTCCAAATGAATAAGAACGAAATAGAAATGTGCGAATTCGACATACATTTGGAGAATTTTTTTGTTTCCGCTCTAACTTGGTAATGATGACATAATTTCTGCCTAATTAGACCTAAACTGTTTCAGCCTCTGAGATAGTTGGGTCCGCTGAATGGAGAAAGCGAAAACACGAAAATAAAACGGGAGAAAACTTGGGAGTCTCCCCAACTATCTGAGAGCCAGGAACAGGCTAAATTAGGCCAGGTCCGAAAATGGGTATGGATCTTAGAGATCTGGTCTGAAAACGGATGTGGAAAATGACTTTTTTTTGGTCTGCAATAAGGTCAGGATTCGGAGAACCGAGCACCACACCCCCACCAAGAATTCCCAGTAGTACCACCCTTCGCGGATCAGGAGCAGGGTGTAAATCATGTCATCATAATCATCGCGTAGAATATAACGTTGGATGACTCATTTCGGTTATTATTCACGTATGTGAGTAATCCCTCCCCCCTAAATACTGCGTTTTGCATCGCGGAATGCCCTACATTGACCTTCTCGTCTGAGTTCTTCATTCAGTCCTCATATTCCCAAGGCTTTACTTGAAACGGAATTGTGGCATCCGATACGATTTTTACTGATCTGACTAACACCAATACTATTTTTTAAAATTCGGTGCTTCTTATTGGTTTAAAACTGCAAACTGAAATCTCTTATAACTCCCTCTTTTTATAAAATTCAGAGTTTAATTTCAGTTGCCTTGAGTACCGGCATGACTTTCCTTCTCCGTGGGAAGAATAGACTACGTGAGCAGCCAAGGGAATGTTAAAGCTGGGACTACTGTTTTTGCTAGTCCGCTTTCCATTTCTCTCAGTTTTACCTTTCTAAAGTCGTTTTTATATACGTAGCCCGTAGTCCGCGTTTTATACCTAGTCCGTGTTTTATACTCAGTCCGGAGTCCGCATTTTATACCTAGTCCGTATTTCATACCCAGTCCGCAGTCCGTCGTCCGCAGTCCGCAGTCCGCAGTCCATGTTTTATACTGACCGGCTTCTCAGGCACACAGTGTATCAGTAGATCTCCTTGTTACCGATGTTGTTTTGCTGCACACACAGTGAATACGGTACCTTAAACCACTAGAAAGAGATATGAAACGGCAAACTGATCCTTACGGCAAGGCGATGAAGAAGTAAACAAAAGAATAAAACAAAAACTATATATATATATATAAACAAATTGCCCAATATTTCGGTTTGAAAACAAACCTTCTTCAGGGGCTGAAAGAAAAATGGAAATAAAACTAAAAGTTCATTACAAATAACGGAATTTGAAAAAGTGACAACAAAATTGGTATAGGAGACTAGGTGGTTTCATTACTTTCATATATCAGTGAGCTTCGTCACGTCTATTTATTCCTAGAGGAAATGTAATGTGTTCCCTTTGTGTATCAAATGAGCTTCTCGAGCCTTTCACACTGCATCACGATTGCTGTGGACTTGCTGACATTTTATATACCTCAAACCACTCCTTGTTCATAGTTCTTGAACTATGGAACAGGTTTATCAGGCCTTCTTGGTAAGAGTCTCTCTTGTTCTTGGTCAATATGTTTCGATAAACGAAGAAAACCGAAATTGACCTCATGAATATATTGGCGCAAACTAGCGAGAACCGCACTGGCGAGCTTCATATTTTTTAAGGTAAAAAAATCGCCAGGTTTACTTTCTTTGGATCCGCGTGCCCAACAAAACGCACGAAAATGTCCTATTACAATGTAAAACGGTGCGTTTCTTTCTGAATTCTGAATTCTTCAGACTCCAAATGCATCCATAAGATGAAATCTAAATCCATATTTTTTATGATTTATGATCCATGCGCATGAACACGCCGGAAAATACTCAGCAAGCGGTTTTCCCGTGAAATATGAGGCTCGCCATGTTCTCACAAGTTCGCGCCAATATATATTGCTGGGGTGCTAAAAGAAGTTTATTTCTGTCGTTGTATAAACGAATCCAAAAAATCGGAGATCAAAAATCAATGTTGGATGGTCCCGAGAAATCGCACAATTAGTTATTTGCCAGTGATACGATTTTCTTCCAACTTTTGAATCCCTTCATGAAGGTGTAACAGGGATTTTCACTACCATTCAGTCTTAACAAGAGCTACCTTACGGGAGACCATGCAAACAAAGTTTTGACGCTTTTTATGCTCATATTGGCTCATATTGAATGCGTTCTGCTTTAATTGCAAAATCTTGACTATAAAACGCCAATCTCAAAAGCATTATCGCCTGAAGAGAAAATATTCCGCCAGAACGCCGGTTTTGCGAACATTTTAATTGTACCTTTTGTGTCTAAGGAGATACGGGAAAAGTGAACAGTGGTGGCTTTGAGTCAAGGCAAATTAGTTTGGTCAAGAATAGTTGCTGATTCTTTTTTGTTTAACTGATAGGTATCGCTAGAGAGGATATGCTCTCTTTGTGTCGATGAAGAATTCATGTCCGTACTTCCCGTGGTCAAGAAGAATGTTAGTGGGACAAGATTTTGGAATCATCTCTCCAGAGCCTCTAAATCTTTTTCAAAATTCGTGTTTTGACCAGAAAACATAGGATTATGAATTTTTTTATGATGAAAAGCATATATTTTTGAATTATAACTACATGAGTCCACGAAATAAAGAGTATGTGATGTGTGTATATGGGTTACCGTACAAGAAACGAGGAACCTTAAAAGAAGAAGTAGCCTGCGTGGTAGGTAAGGGAAATGAAAGGTAACTATGGTAAGGGAAGTGAAACGGTCGGGGCGGGGAGTAAAGAGAACTTCCTCTGTCAATGGGTAAAGCTCTTCAGGTATTCACGCTGCGCCTTCCGCCGCGAGAAGAGATGTCAAGAACTTCTTTGAAATAGTCTATCAACAAATCACAAGAAGAGGATCTTTTCTCGACTTTTTCCCAGCCATCTGATAAAAATGACAAATTTCCCTACCCTTTCATATACTTTAAGTAGTGAAATCCCAACCTTATCACGGGCCATACCTGATGCTTGAAAAAGGTACCCCTTCCGGGCGGAGCCTCCGGCCTCCCGTTATAGGCCATAAATTATGCAGTCTCAAAACGATAATTTTCGCGGCCCACTTTTTTCGGATTCGACTCGCGTGGTTCGGATGCGTTCTCTCATTGGTTATCCACCTCTGACATTGCCGCCCCAAGTGCTTTTCTGTAAAATGCTCAAGACTTGGTGCGTGTTTTCTCTGGTGTATACGTAATGGTGTGTTTTTTACTCGGAAATTGCGGAAGTTTGAAGGAATTTTGCTTTACAAAGGACGTGGACAATTTTCTTATTACTCATTAAAACTGCCAAAAGCGAGTGACGAAGAGCAAGGTCAACCGCAACCTCTGTGCCCCAGTGAAACCTCGCAGCAAACGGGATTGATTGCTTTGGCTTCTTCGATTTCAGTGTCAGCCAATAATATCGTATGACTAAACGAGCCCTTTGTAAAGTTACATTATCGGACAAAAGAATCTAGGCTTATTCAGGGGTTCTTGGAGTAGAAATAGAGTATTAACCCAGTGTTGTGTTCAACAGCAAGTGTGAGTCATCCATGATGTCAAGCAAGCCACCTAATCGCAAACGAGAGTCTTGTGGGGAGCGTGCTAGCCCTTATGCCGAAATCACGAGAATCAGCAGCGATCAAGAGAGCAGAGGATGGCAGAACGATATGTTGCAAGCTTTACAGCGGAACGCTACTCCCGAGCCAATTCGCTTAGCATGTATGACTAACTTGCCTTCGAGGCCCTCCTTTTTTCAGGAAGAGTTCCATGGCCGAATTCCACGGGAGAAAGCAGAGGAACTACTCTCTGCAAATGGCCCAGTCAACGGGCGATACTTAGTCCGCGAAAGTAATAGTTCTCCAGGTGATTATAGCCTGTCATTAAGTTACGATGACCGTATTTTACATTACAGATTAAAATATGAAAATGAAAGATACTTTACCGATGAGAAGGAATTCAAATATTACACGTCGATCACCGATCTTGTTGTAGACGTGCTGAGCATGTATCGTTTGGTACATAATGTTAGTGGACGTGTACCGAAAGAAGAGAAGAAAAAGCCAAATTCCTAAGGTATTTCGAGAACGTCACTGGCGAGCTTCACATTTGAAGGAAAAAAATCGCCAGGTTTACTTTCTTCGGATCCGCGTGCCCCGGGAAATATGAGGCTCGCCCTGTTCTCGCAAGTTCGCGCCAATATATACTGCTGGCATGCTAAAAGAAGTTTATTTCTGTCTTTGTATAAACGAATCCAAAAAATCGGAGATCAAGAATCAATAATGGATTGTCCCAAGAAATCGCACAATTAGTTATTTGCCAGTGATACGACTTTCTTCCAACTTTTGAATCCGTTCATGAAGGTGTAACAGGGATTTTCACTACCATTCGGTCTTAATTAAGGTGTTTCGATACAGTTTTTCAGAGGCCATACCGATATTTTTCAATCGCCTTAAAAGTGGTTTTTTCCTTGTCCGGTCGCTATCAAATTTTCACGAGTAATTAGCTATGGATTGAAATTTGTGAAAATGTAGTCTTAAGTAAATCGATATTACTATGACAACAATCAACAAAAAAATTTGAAATCGATAAAAGCCGAATTTGTGTGATCTAGACCTGCTACTGAAAATCCAACACTAGGAACTCAAAGTTTGGTGTTTAGCAAACAATCTCCGTACGTAAGAAGTAAAAAATTCTGTATGTTTGAATTCGACTAAAATGAAAATATATTTCAAACCTTAAATTTTCAATAGCCGTGATAGATTATTTAATAAAAACGTTAGAAGTGACTCAAATTATTCTTAAGTAGCGTCAGAATGCTGCTTAATATCATATTTTGATGCTAGGAAATTTTGGTGTACTTTCGTTCTTGCGATCTTGAAAACGAACCCGTTTTCTCACCACCTGTACAAGTGCAACTTCATTCAGAATTTAGACTTTTAGCGCTTACTTGTATATCTCCGAAACCACTCGAACAAATTTTTTAAAAATCTCTTCACATAATTTTAATAATGTATATAAAAATGTCTGAAACTTTCATTAAATTGATTCACTGCAACACCTTAAAGTTTCAAGACAAACCTTACGAACCGGTCAAAAATCTGGGTTACAACATTCACTGTTTTGACGTTATGCTAATTTTTTCCAAAATAATGCGCACTATATATTCCTCCATGACTAGTGCATTTTAGTTTGAATTTATCGGATCCTTTGAATATAAAACATTGACAATATTCACACTGGAAAGTAGTGAAATCCCAACCTCATCACGGGCAATACCTGAAGCTTAAAAAAGGTACCCCTTGCGGGCGGAGCCTCCCGTTATAGACCATTATAGGGAGTATCCCCCGGTGGGGGGGGGGGTTGCTAAGTATAGTGGAAGAATGACTCATGCAGTCTGAAAACGATGATTTTCGCGGCCCATTTCTTTCCTAGATTGCGCGTCATCCTCGCGTTTTTTGGGATTCGACTCGCGTGGTTCGGATGCGTTCTCTCATTGGTTATCCACCTCTGACGTTGCCGCCCCAAGTGCTTTTCTGTAAAATGCTCAAGACTTGGTGCGTGTTTTCTCTGGTGTATACGTAATGGTGTGTTTTTTACTCGGAAATTGCGGAAGTTTGAAGGAATTTTGCTTTACAAAGGACGTGGACAATTTTCTTATTACTCATTAAAACTGCCAAAAGCGAGCGACGAAGAGCAAGGTCAACCGCAACCTCTGTGCCCCAGTGAAACCTCGCAGCAAACGGGATTGATTGCTTTGGCTTCTTCGATTTCAGTGTCAGCCAATAATATCGTATGACTAAACGAGCCCTTTGTAAAGTTACATTATCGGACAAAAGAATCTAGGCTTATTCAGGGGTTCTTGGAGTAGAAATAGAGTATTAACCAAGTGTTGTGTTCAACAGCAAGTGTGAGTCACCCATGATGTCAAGCAAGCCACCGAATCGCAAACAGTCTTACGAGGAGCGTGCTAGCCCTTATGCCGAAATCACGAGAATCAGTAGCGATCAAGAGAGCAGAGGATGGCAGAACGATATGTTGCAAGCTTTACAGCGGAACGCTACTCCCGAGCCAATTCGCTTAGCATGTATGACTAACTTGCCTTCGAGGCCCTCCTTTTTTCAGGAAGAGTTCCATGGCCGAATTCCACGGGAGAAAGCAGAGGAACTACTCTCTGCAAATGGCCCAGTCAACGGGCGATACTTAGTCCGCGAAAGTAATAGTTCTCCAGGTGATTATAGCCTGTCATTAAGTTACGATGGCCGTATTTTACATTACAGATTAAAATATGAAAATGAAAGATACTTCACCGATGAGAAGGAATCCAAATATTACACGTCGATCACCGATCTTGTTGTAGATGTGCTGAGCATGTATCGTTTGGTACATAATGTTGGTGGACGTGTACCGAAAGAAGAGAAGAAAAAACCAAATTCCTTTCCCCACTTATTTAAGCCCCATAGCTACAAACATTTCAAATGGTGTGCTTTTTGTGGGGGATTCTTATGGGGACTTAGAGATCAAGGAATGAAGTGTGAGGGATGTGGCCTCGATGTTCATGGACGCTGCATGAAGCATGTGGGTGAAGAGTGTACTAAAAAGTTGCCTGTGAAAGAAAAGAAAGAGCCGCGTAGAAAATTTGTTCCCATTAGCTCAAGAACAAAGAGTGTTTCCAACGAAATATTCAAGCCTACATGTGAGTATCAAGAGAGCTGTATTCGTTTCCTTACTCATTTGAATATTCCTTCACAATATTTTACGGTTGATGCTCTGAATCCGTGTTATTGTGAAGAGTGTTGTGTTGATGTTGACACCCCACTGTGTAAAACGGGTGATCCACCTCAAATGTACTCCTTGCCAACTGGATGGTGTCGCTTTCAGCTTGCACCTGTCTGTAGTGAGGCTGAAAGTGATATCATATCATCAACTTGGAACTTGGCATTTTTGTCACTGGACCCAGAGGAAGTAACAGAAATTTTACGGTCAAAGTTTACGGAAAATCGGTCAAATGATTCAGGTCAAGAAGGATCCAAACCTCTCATCAAGTTGACTCCTTCCATTATCTGTGCAGATTTGGATGCTCGTAAGCTAAGGTATGCTGATAGTGACAGTGGGGAGAGCAAAGCTGGCCAAGTTGTACTACAGGCTTACATTGAGCCTTATTCCTACCAAATGATGCGCAGACCAGGATCAACAGAAGAAATTGATCCTTATTTTAAGATGGACTCTATTTACTGGGTGACAAGGCAAGCTCTATCTATAATACCATTTGCAGTGCTTGTAAAAACGATGGATGCAACTTACCTTAAATTATAGATTTAAGCAATCTTTATTGGTCCCTTGGTATATTACCTGCAAACAAAATTTCTTCTGTTTGATTGGCTGAGATCTGTTGTATTTCAGCATAGCCTAACTTATCAAAAAATTTTTCAGGTAGCATAAACAAAGTTTTGATGTCATGATGTGTTTTGATATGTGACCAGTGATTTTGTTACCTCTTCGTCCTGCATCCCTGACACAGAAAAATCCCCAAAGATGCAAATAATTCATGGCATGTGTCCTGTAGGACGCAAAGATTGATCAGTCGATATAAGCATCTGTATTTGTAGAAATATCCGGCCCATGTGTGTAATAACTCTGTAATTTCTGTGGCAGTTATTATGGCTGTTGTTTAATGATGCATATTTCTTTTAGCCTTTGTTGTGCTTTAAAATAGAAGGAGTATATTTTAATATCAGTGTAGTGTAATACAGAGGTTTTGAGTCTGTCATCAGATTAACTGTTAGGTTACATAAAAGCCCAGGCGTTTTCAATTTTGGACAGTTTTTTAAACTGGGACTCACTGGTTTGGGACAGGGACTAATGATTTTTAACAAGATGAGTCCCTGGACTCACCATAACTATTTGTAACAAAATCACTGGGTGACTTACCATAAAACTCACAAAACCTTGAACACCAAAAATCTTCTTTTCTGGAATATTTTTGTGTTGCAAGGTAGGAGTCAATCAGTTGTTGGAACACTAATCTGCAAGTAGCGATGGTAATTGATTTGTGATGTTTTGGCTTGCCTGTATGTCCTGATCTTTGCTGTGATTGGTCATAGCATAGTAAAGCTTCTCAAGGTATTTCAGGTGTTCACGGTGTATTTGTTTGACAGTAAAACCTTTCAGATCTTTACAAGTAACACCTTGAAAGTACATCATTAATTTCTGAGGTCAAATATTAGGCAAGTACACCTCATGCAATTTCCTTTTCCAGTTATGCCATTTTTTCAAAGTGGTGGCCAATTCCAAACAGTTAGTTTCCAAGCTTTTGAAAACAAAACGGAAAATTGTTTGACTGTGGTTATTCCTTAATGCCAGTGTAAAGCACATGCAACAAAATGTGCGGTCAGTCTCAAAAGAAGAATAAGGCCCTGTTTATATGGAGCAAACTTGTCCCAGATTGAACGGTCACTCGCATACTCGAGTTACCCCCCCCCCCC